AGAAAGGGAAACGAATTTTTCTCCTACGAATTTTTGTCGCGAATTAGATATAGAAGTTGCTTTCTATTGGAAGAATTAAAAAATTCAAAGATCGAAGGATCAATCGATCAAGGTTCCGGCGACAGGGAATGAAAAATCCTTGAGTCGGCGCGTGCCTCGAAGAAATTGGCCGAGAACAACAGCAAGCTATTTACGATGCCCTGGCCGTTTCGTGATTTATTTTCGACGATTTACGTTCACCGTAGAGTTCAACGTATCGCTTGTTAACTAAAACGGACGGGTATGATGAGGTATATATCTAGGTTTCGGAAATTCGTGCAAAATTACGTCAATGGAACCGTGACCTATGCGAACGCGACAGATACGGTATCGCTTTCCTGTTGGAGCAACGATGCAGAACCGAACAGGTTCGTTCGTTTCTGCCGAGAACTCCCCTACTTTCGATGTTCCGGGAGAGTGGGAACACCAACGATAGCAGTCGCACCAAGCTTCGAGAAACTTCTTTCTCGCTTTCTTCCCGGCGACGGACGCGCTCGAGCCAAGTCGATTCTCGATTTCTCGCGCGCGTTGGTTTAATATCCGTCTCTCCGATCGATCAGAACCACAGAATCGACTTGGTTTCACTTGTCCTTTTCGTCACGCGTGCCTTCCCTTTCTAACTTCTCGTGCTTCCCGTCTTATCAAGAGCAAATGTCATTTTATCGTTGCTTTCAGACGAAAAAAACAAAAACGTGCCGCGTAATCTCGGATCTTTATCTTTTCCTCTTTCTCGCGTTCCGATTAAATTCCCAGTGACTCTGATCCGCGTTAGGTCTTTTCCACGTTACTCGTGTGGGCAGGTTGATATTTTCTTAAAGAAATCAGTCACCAACTGTTAAAACAGGAAAGCCAACGTACGATGATATTGATTGAAGTCTGTGTAAATTATCGGAAAAAGAAGAATACAAGGTCAGACTGTTTTTTGAGAAATGCATAACGCTGCTCTCGCAAACTGAAATCCGCGTGTCTCGCATAATTCGATCGATCGATCGTGAAGTAGACAAAGTAGAAATAGCTGCTCGTTGGAATTTTTCATTTTACATCCCCGACCTGTATCTTCGGAGTAATTGCGTTTAAATTTTGACTAGCTTTCATAAATGAAGCGGAAAAGCGAGAGAGAGGGAGGGGGTGAGGCACGTGAGTGGTTTCATTTTACGGTAAATGAGCGTTTCTTAATTACGTTAAAAACGACGTCGTTGCGGTTTCTGGTTCTTTGAAACTTTGGACTTGTGTCTAAATTGGACACGCGCCTCTTTCGCGTCTTCGTTTCTTCCGGCGGATTATTTCGGTCGAGGAATCAACCTCGAGACTATGCTCCTAGTTTCTACATAGATCGCACGCGTCGTATCTTCTATTGACTTCGAACTTATTAATTGTAATCAGTCTAATTGACGAAAGTCGCCGATCGAAACGACATAGACAACGCGTGTATTACGACATTCTTTATCTCTTGCAAAGACGCTCCTCCTTCGTATTGTTGATAAGTGATGAAACACATACGTGGATACTTATTCGCGATCGAGCATGATTTTATTTGTCAATTCTTCTGACGTTTTTTTTTTTTTTTTTTTTTAAACAAAGACGTAACTTTTACTATTTACGATTTCTTTCATAATTTCCTCGAAACTTAAAACCTCGAATGAAATTCTGTCCGATACAACGGTTCAACGAAATTCAGCTCGATTAATTTTACTGTATCTCTGATAACAGAATCAAAGTGCTTGCGCATTACTCCAATTTCTTTCAATGAATTTACATTAAGTAATCTGTTCCTTTCTTTTTTTTTTTTTTTT